CTTGGAAACAAGGTCAACGTGTTTCACCAATTTTTCAAAAAAATTTTATCTCCCAAGTTATTCAGGGTACCTACTTTTGGTTGGGACACCCTGTATAATATTCATAAATTATATGTGTTTATTTGTGCAAAAGTTATATAATTAAAAAGTCAAATAATTTAGACATTATAATTTTTTGTTGAAATTGACGTTTTTAAGGACAAAAAATAAATAAACGAAAAATAGATGTTTTCTAAATATCCATCTACATTTCAAAATTTTACCACTTTATACTCTTATGTATATGGTGTTAACTAATTACATGCCAAAACTTCAGGGGATAATTCCTTATAACATTTCAAGACGAAAACTTTCTGTTAACATATATGCTAAAATGCCTTGTTACTACACGTTAGAACAGTGTCGCCGTAAAAAGAAGTTCGGGGGTGATTAAAGGGGACATGACCCCTAAAAAAGTATCACCCTGTAGATTGTTACAAAAATCAATAAAGCTTTTTTGTAGCGACTGTAACAAGTAGTACGTACACCAAATTTGATTCAATTATCTTTAAAAATGTATAAAATACATGTTAGCAATACACCCTTCAATGGCCTCCTGTACTCACGATTATATCAACCAGCTGTTGGGCGTTCGCACTTAATCCGAGAATGACCGAGCCAGTGACGACAGCCTAGATGCGAGCTAGCTAAAAAAAACGATACTTTACCTCTGTGAATGAATTAACTTACGCATGGCAATAGATTTATGCTAAAGTGAATTTTTTTTGTTTCATTAGGGGTAGAAACCCCCTAAACGCTTACATACATTGAAAAGACAAAAAAAAATGAAAATTCAACACCCTGTATCTCGATGCATTTTAGGATATATGTTAATAGTAACTTTTCGTCTTGAAATGTTGTAAGGAACAGCCTTCTGAAGTTTTGGCATGTAACTAATTAACACCCTGTATAGTTATAGTTATCTCTTTTTTTTAAACGTAGAATTTTGAATTAATCCAATTGGCTGTCCAAAAAGCGAATACAAGTTGGTAAAAAAAATCTGTGTTCAAATTACCTTCAAAAGAGTATGCAGCAGATATACAAATAGCAGGATCTTGACATTTTTGTATGGATGCTATTCCTTTACAAGGATCATCGTACCTTGCTGAAACTGTGACATTGCACGTGTAGCACTCCAAAGTGTTACCTGAAAGAAGAAATTTATTTAATATGCTCGTTTTAAAAATAATATTTATTACGTTTCCATAGTGTTGATATAATCAATTTCAGATGTTTTTTAAATTATAGATGGCGTTGACATATTTTAATTAGGTTGGATACTTTAGGAAAAATTACTAAAGTGGCAGCAAAGAAGATAAACAAAATGCAAAATTTTGATTTATCTAATATTAATATATTTTTCATAAAAACAAAAAATTTCAAGTCTATTGTGCTGGTAGTAACAGTGTAAAACTAATTTACGATTATATCTTTGACTTTTCAACATATCCTAAGTAAAATCATCACTGAAGTGAGTATTCATGCTAATAAAATTAATATTTCTACAGCCTACTTTAATTTAAAAACATCTGATACGCTGCGTGACCGCACGGGACATAATAATAATAATAATAAACGCCTTTATTGCCCAACAGATTACAAAGGAATCCAATTACACGACAAAATTAGTAGTTGATATTCATCTAACAATAAGCTAAACTAAACTATATTAAAAATTATTGAATCTTCAAGTTAATCTACATAAAATAGAATTACTACATTAAATTACTCAGGTTGAGTTAAGCGAGTAAAAAACATATATATATATATATATATATATATATATATATATATATATATATATATATATATATATATATATATATATATATATATATATATATATATATATATATATATATATATATATATATATATATATATATATATATATATATATATATATATATATATATATATATATATATATATATATATATATATATATCGATCTATGTCTGGTTAGGAATTGACAAATGATATTGGCTATCGATCTATCATGATTTGAAGGTGTAATTCAATGCAGGTCGGGGTATTTGCCCGCTGAGTAGTTGTTTCCTTCAAATCATATTTAATAACATATATATATATATATATATATATATATATATATATATATATATATATATATATAAATTCAACAACAGATGTTGAGCGTACCCCCCTAACAGGGTAGACTCCTGAGATTTTATATTGTAAGAACATGAGAAATTTCCTCTGAACATTTTCAACAGCCAATTCTTGTGTATTATAAAATTGATACCAGATCAAGGAACCGTACTCTAATTTTGACCTTACATAAGAAAAATAAAAGTGCTTTTATTGCAGCGGAGTCATGAAAATTACTACAGTTTCGAATTACGAAACCTAGCATTTTTAATGCAGAGGTTGTAGATTGTTTAATATGCTCATTGAATGACATTTTTGAGTCGAACACTATACCTAGATCTTTTATGGATTCGCATCGATTCAAGTCAGTGGATTTTAATTGATAAATGAAGTTTGTATAATGTTTTTTTAACGTAAAGGTTAGGCTTTTGCATTTTTGAATGTTAATTGGAGATTATTTTCTTCACACCAGACTTCTATCTTTCTCAGCTGATTTTGAATAAATATACAATCCTCGACATTTTCTATTGCATGGTAAATTTTGAGATCATCTGCAAACAACATTTTTTCACAATCAATAACCTGTACCAAATCATTAATAAAAAGCAAGAACAGTAAGAGACCAAGATTACATCCTTGCGGTACTCCAGAGGTAGCAGTGAATTGCTTAGAATCAAACCCGTTGTAAGATACATACTGAATGCTGTACGACCTAATAAGTGCAATAAGAGATTCATCAAAACCAAAGTCGCTCAGCTTAATTAAAATTATTCCGTGGTCGATGCGATCAAACGCTTTGGCAAAGTCGGTATATATAACGTCAACCTGCCCATGATTATCAAGCACGGAAGCTACGTATTGGGAGAATGCTGCTAAATTTGTTATGGTGGAACGGCTGTCCATAAATCCGTGCTGATGTGGTGAGATTAAATTTTTTACCGCAGGGTATATATAAACATAGAGTGATATTTTCAAAGGCTTTGCAAAATTACATAGTATAGAAATGGGCGTGTAATTAGTCATTTGCGATGGATCGCCAGATTTGAGTACGGGACATACTCTCGCGACTTTCCACATATCAGGAAACACCGAGGTTTTAAGAATAAGATTAAAGATAAATAATAGAGGAGTTATAAAAGCATATCTACAATCTTTCACTAAAAAACTAGGGATTTGGTCATGACCTGACGTCATTTTATTTTTCAACTTATTGGCAGAATTCAGTATGTCCTTTTCAGTAAATTCTCTGATATTAAGTGAAGCTAAGTAGTTAAAGCAATTAGATTCAGTATCTAGGCTAGTTGAGATTGAATAAACACTACTAAAATATGATAAAGGAAACAGAGAAATTCTCATAAAATTCCTTTATTAATGTGACCGGTTTCGTGAACAAATTAATTACTTCACATCATCAGACACAGGAATTTTTATAAATAGAAAACCAGGGTAGTCAAATTAGAATTAAAATAGTTTTGCAACATGTCAAATGGTCACATTAATAAAGGAATTTTATGAGAATTTTTCTGTTTCCTTTATCATGAATAATTACTCATATGGGATCAACCTATCTACGTTACTACTAAAATAATTACTAAATCCATCAACACTGGATTGAGAAGCTTCAAAAAACTACATCACTGTTAACTACTTTACCTGGTATTCTAGTTTGTTGTTTTTTTGATTGAATATAAGTCCAAAAGTATTTGGAATCATTTTTTATACTATTTTCTACACTTTCAAGGTATGATTTATAAGCTACTTGAATTTCAGATTTAATTGTCGACCTTACTCTTTTAAATTGCTCCAAATACTTATCAAGTTTCGTCTGTTTGTGTTTTTTACGGTAATAGCTTTTAACTTGATATTGTTGATTATATCGGAGGTATACATGGTACGCTCCCCCAAAATGTTCCGTATTTGTAAAGGTATAAATCTGAAATTTGGGAACTGTTAATAAAACAAAAAATACACGTTTTGATGCTTAATTTCAAGATTTTTGTACTTCCGGTTCTACCAAAAATGATACCCACTTTTTTTCTTAAATATAACACTTTTTCAAAATTAAAATCGACTGAAAAATGGCTGACTTATGGTCGATTTTCTATTTACGTAAAGATGGCCATAAAATAAATATTTCAAGTTTAAAATTTTGCGAGACAAGCCATGGGATAATTAGGAAACACAATAAAGTAATGTCTATACTCAAAACAGCTACCACTTCTTGTACAGTTTATTTCAAACTTATTTGCAACATAAAAAACGTCGACTTCCTTGATCCCTTTACCTCCGTCAAAAAAGCCGACAGTTTTTATGTTGCAAATAAGTTTGAAATAAATATATTTGTATTTTATTTAATAAATATTCTATAAAAATCAAATAAATTAAAAAGTTGTATGAAAAAAATTTATTTAAATTCCTTATTTACTTTTTTAATGCAAATTTTATTATAACATTAAAAAATATAATTGCTAAATTATGCAAAATTTAATGAATAATATTGTTTCATTTTTTGAAGGTTCTTTTTATTTGATATTTTTGAAGAATTCTAATATTGGCAACGCAATTAAATTTTAGAAATAAGTAGAAAAACAGCAAATGTGTAAAAATTATTATAAGTTTAATTAAATTTATATTACATAATATGGAAGAAAATTCTTAGATTACATTTTACTAGATTTTTACACAATATTTATTGAATAACATATTAAAATTTAACCACCACAGGTAGTACAACCCCCCCGTATCACTGAAGGTACCTCAAGGTACCTTGTGTGTGAGAGAGCTACACATTTAGAGACAAAGGACACACGTCCGAATATGCTAGGATTAATTTCTGGTTCAGGAAAAAATCCTAGCTCCTCTACCGGGGATCGTACCCGGTACTTCAGCGTGAGAGACAAGTGTTCTTACCACTCGACCAAGAAGCCACACGAAATATTAAAATATAAGAAGTGACAGCGGTTTTGAGTACAGTATTTACTTTATTGCATTTCGCAATTATTCCATAGCTTCCCACGTGAAAATTCCAACTTGAAGTATTTATTTCTTGACCATCTTTTATCTCCATTGAAATCGCAAACAATAAAAATGGGTGTTAAATTAAAAAAAAAAGTTGATATAATTTCCGGTAAAACTGAAAGAACAACAATCTTGAAGATAACATCAAAACATATGTTTTTCTGACGTATTAACAATTTCCACATTTCAAATTTATGTATTTAAAAATATGGATAATTTTGGGGGCATACCTTGTCTTGTGGTCACTCGATCTAGTATACACGATGTCTCGGAAACGCATTGACAACGGTTGACTACAAAAATCTCAGGTTAAAATAACCCTTACGAAGTAACAACCCATTATAGGTGCACACCCACAATTTGTTTTTTTTAAATTTATTTAAAGCGTTTTGAACTATAGACGTCCAAGTTGGTTACCTCAAATACTTATATGATGATAATGTATTCCATGAGTGGAAAGGAAAAAATATATACTGAATGTTAATATTCCGGCATTCCTAGACCCCTATTTTGCTCGGAACTTTTTTTGTTCATGACTTTTTCAAAAAAAGCAGTTTGTTTATAAACTTTTTGATGTCTTCTAAAAAGTTCATATTTCGTACAGTTCACTCATAAAATAGTAAAGTTCGAAACAATGTACGAAATTCCGCTCTTCAAAGAATTATTCACTCACTAGTCTGGTAGGGATTTAAATCATTTAATTTTTTTAACTAGGGGCCCAAGGAGTGACAAATTTTACAAATTTAACAGAAATAGCATACACAGTGTTCATTTTTCTGGATGCCAATTTTAATTTTGTCGTGATTCAATTCATAGAATTTATTTATTTGATTCTCCTCTACTAGGCAACTGAATTTGAATAATTTTTTGAAGAGCCGGAGTTGGTATAAGTAAATGAAATATGAATACAAGACATCAAAAAGTTTAAAAACAAACTGTTCTTTTGAATCTGTTTACTGGAAAAGTCATTGACGTGTGGACAAAAATGCTTTGGGTAAAATAGTGGGCATATGATGTCGAAATATTAACACTCTGTATACATTTTCTTCTTTCTACTCATGGAGACCAATACTCTCATATAAATAATTTAGACAATCAGTTGGAAGTCTATAGGTCAAATAGTTCTGCGGTTATTCAAAAAAAAAAGAAAAAAAATCGGGGGCTCCGCTTACAGGGGGCTGTTATGCGTAAAGCGCTAAACACACGTTACGATAAAACTAAGCGATTTATCTGCATAAGCAGATCTGCCCAATTATATCGCACGCTCATATAACACCTACAATGTAACGTATATTTAGCACACTTTAGGGTGCATTTCTGTATATAGGAAAGTTTATTTGAATCCTGTGATTTTAACCTCAGAAATCTGTAATCAACCGCTCTCCATGTATTTCCGAACACCCTGTATATTAGAGTTATGTTTACAATATTTTATCAAAGTTGTTTCAGCGGTGTCTGGATCAAGTGAGGTAAAAAATTACCAACAATCTTGACGAAAACAGTTTGAATGACATTTTTTCAAAATGTCCTTATAGATGACTATAAGGATATTAATTTCCTCACTACTGAAGTGAAGTAAGCTAATGTAATGGTTTTAATACTTTTAGGTATATTCTACATTAGGATGTAAAAATGTTAGCTATCATTATTTATAAGCCGATTTCGACTAGTTATTAAGAAACTAACTATGCATGTATCTCATTATTTCGAAGGTTAACCGGCAAAATCCTACTTTATATCAGGGCCGCATTATCCAATAGGCAAACTAAGCAATTTGTGCCAAAACGCAAAGGGGCTCTTAAGCAATTTGCATATATTACAGAACTGCCCAATTCTAATTCCTTAATTCCTGACGTTGATCATTTTTTTTATACATATAGGTAATAGGTTTGATTTAGCAGAAAATCACAAACGGTTTGAAGAATTTTTTGATAGCGCATATCTAAACATACACTAGTCGGGAATTAGTTGACAACTTATACTACTGGAACGAAATTTTTTGCTTCACTTCTGCTTCTTCGCACATTCTCAGCTCTTCACATGACATTTGATTGAAACAGCATAACCTATAACTCTGTGTTTGCAATCATTTTGAATCATTTGTGTTTAAATTTCTCAAAACAATAGTTTTAGAAGATGGAGCGAATTATTTCTATCTTTATGAAAACTAGATAATGCTACCACAAAATGTTGTTATATTCATTCACAAAAACGTTTATAATTCGATAATTTTAATCGACATTTTATATTTGAACTGCGCATGACCAGGCTAAAATCCGTGGAGAATTCTTCAAATTATTTGAAATCGCTTAGAGACTAATCAGTTGACTTGCCGGAACACTAAATAAGTACAGAATCCCCGATTATTGTCTGCTGGAACACCAATTTCTTTTTGAGCATATCGGGGACAATTTGAAACCGTTTCTGACTGCTGCTGGAACAACAAAATGTACTGGGCAACTGTTTATTTGGTGATTATTATCACGCTGTTACCGATAACTGTTGCATAAAACATATGCGGTGTCACAGCTTTGAGTTTTAGAGTATCGCCAGCGACTGCCTTTTGTAGTTGCTACAGTAACGCTTCATTTAAATTTTTCGCCTATAACCCAGATGCCTCGTGGTACACTTCAAAAAACTTTGATGATGATGATTTACTTTACGCAAATCTTCAGGCTGTGAAGATCGAATCATTTCCTGAGGAATGAATCCAATCGACCATATTATGCAACCTACGTAAAATGAGTCATGACACACTGGTTGCCTATATGTAACACTAGTAACGTGACCTTTATGTTCATGAGCATAAAGGCAACATTTTTGAGAACTAGAACACAGCACAGAATTTTATTTTTTTCTCTCTTGGGAGATATATTTAAGCATTTTCAGTTACCATTCACCATGCACAATATTTCAATTAGTCAAGAAGGACTACGAATAGTTCTGTCTATAAATGGTGAATGACCATTGTTCTTGATTATAATGATATTATAGCACGTAAAAAGTCACAAGAAATGGTTTATTTTTTATTTTTCATTTTGTTATTTATGTTTTATTCATAATTAAAACACGTTGTTAATTCTTTTTAATATAGGTACAAGAAATGTCGTTTGTATTTTTACTTATTTTTTTATGGTGGATTGGGACTCGGGGGCATCTTTTTTCCTAGGGACACATATGCGGATAATCCGGCTCTGATATAGATATTTATTTCATGGTCAATTAGCCGCAGAAAGTTGTTTACATATTTTTTCGCCATTTATGAACATGTTTTACAAAAGAAGTCACTATAAGGATACTCTCCAAATATACATATAACAAAAAAAATATTCCACATTCCTCTATATATAGGATAATTCTTGAAAAAGGAGCCTACAGAATTTTCTTAAAACAGTATGCTTTTACAAGTAATTTATTAAAAATCAAAAAGCTTTATCTTATTTTATCAAAAATGGGGAAATGGAGTAATTGTTATTGAACTAAATATAGCACAGATGTGAAGTTGCAGTTGAAAGAAATTGATGAACAGATCTGTCAACAATGGAGTTGGGAGGCATGCAGTGGCAAAGACATACATCTGTGACCTACTTCGGCTCCGTCTAAGAGGAAGGAAGTGTCACTTTGACGCCCTCGATTATGCTGCGAATTATATACAGGACATCTTGGGCGCCAGTTCCCTTTTTGCAGTGTAGGAACACCACATTTCTCTATTAGACGGGCTTATATCAATTTGTGACCACACTATTTCTCTGCTGACGGATAATAAAAATTTGGACAGCTGCAGTGAAGACACGGCACTACCCAGACCTTGAAATGGACGTCAGATGTTCAGAAAATGCTTACAATACAAGTTTTATTAAAACTAATCTGGTGAAATACTTTAGTAGATACAAGCAAATATGGTCAAGGCTGGTATTAGCAGTGCAATATATGAATAAATAAAGCAAAAATCGAAACGCACTACAACCGCTGGTCATGCAGCGTAATAAAATAATATATATGTAATTTAGTAACGCAGAATTATTTAAAAAGTAGAAGAATCTCGAGCGTTAATATCAATAATAAATGGGAAGAGCTAGTTCTGTCCATTCAGAAGAGTTTTATTGGGTGATAATACGGATAACTTAAAATAATTTTGCTAAATTTTCTGTTGAGATTGTCTGGCGAAGTGAGTCGGTACGATCGAAGATCAAAGAAAATTATTCCTCAATAAAAAAGGCTAGATAAGTTTTAAATTTCTCAAATGTTGATTAAGAAAAACTTTGTGGAATTACTGACTCAAAGATTATACTGCTTATTAATATGCTATAAGGTGTTTAGGCAAAATGCCTCAACGTGACATTCATTTTCTTCCACAAAAAGTCAAGTAATGTTGTAAGAATTATAAATATTCTCAATTATTTTTAAAAAATCACTCGATTTTTAAAGCATTTGTTAATATTATTTCATGCTTTTGAAGAACCCTGTAGTGCCGTTTAACACTTAATCTCTATTAGGGCAAAACTTAACTTAAGTTCTTTTACGGAAAAGGAAGAGCCATTTTATAGACCCGTGAATTGTTCAAACACAAGATTTTTCTTAAATATCCACCAGCTAAAAAGATACAAACGAAAAACAAGAAATGACCCGTTTAAACGAAACGCTTAAAAAAATTTTTTTTTTTAGAAAATCATGCGATAAAATATTTTAAATAATAATTACGCGGAACTAGAAAAAATTATCAGTTCTTTTTTTAAATATTGGTAAAAAAAAACTGTTCAAATCCTGCTATTAAAATTTGAAACTGTATATATTATTTTTTTTATATTTCTCCTTCTATGATTTCTGTGGATCGCCCATGCATTTAGTTGTACCTATGAAATATTTTTTAATAATAGTATCATATGAGATCACATCACAATTAAAATGG